CGGGGCCCCTGGAGCGGGGTCCTTCACTCGCTCTGGGGGCCCCGGAAAACTCTCGCGGGGCCCGGGCCCCCGGAGCTTCTTCCGCTCCGGGTCTTCCCCGGCAGTTCGGCGGCGGCGGGTCCTTCTGCTCCGGGACCCGCCGCCGAACTGCCCTGAAGACCCGCGGCTGCGGGTCCTTCCGCCCCGGGACCCGCCGCCGCCGAAGACCCCAGGCCCCCTGAATCCTCTGGGCGGCCCTGCGCCTGTCTGGAATGAGTCCCCTGGCCTCTCTGGTGATCCATCTGTTAAAAGGGGGGTGGCAGGAGGCACAGGCAGGAAAAACGTTTCTCGCACGGCAGCGGAGGGGAGAGAGTGCAGCTTCCCTGGTGGATTTCTGCTGCAATGAAGCAGGCTTCCGTTTACCTTCTTGTATCTGAGCTTCTCTCCATGCCCTGATGGAAGCAACCCTTAAACACCGAAACCCACAGAGAGAACCGGGCTAGGCTGCCTTCGGGGCGCCCCGCTCGCAGCCCCACATGATGGGGGGCAGGAAGGAGACTGCCCCAGAGCACGGCAATGCTGTTCCCAGAACGAGCTGTGCAGGCACAGGGGGCACCTCACCGCCAGCCCAGGCCGATCGGCGCTCCCCGGGGCTGAACGCGCAGCCCCGCCACCACTCGTTCCCGGCCGCTAGACTCTCCCGGGAGCCCCAAGGGCTTCCCTAACGTGCGTCACCGCCGCCTCAGCCAGTTCAGCGCCTCTTATGGCGCCCCGCCTACTCCGTACCTCGGCCAATCGCCATGCAGAGTGGTCTCCGCCTTTCGTTGCCATAGTACCGGCAGGGACGGGATTAGCCAATGGGGTGGGATTGTTGTCGGCCTGCTGCCCCTGCTGCGAGCGGGCGCGATGGTGAGTAGCGCTGGGGAGATACGGGACCCTGCCCCAGGTCCCTAGGGTGCGTCCCCTTCCGCCCATTAGGTCTGCTGCCTCGCCCAGTGCCTAACCCCGTTCAGCCCCATTCCGCCCCCAGCCGCGCCCCATTCCGCCCCTTCCCCCACAGTCCCGCCCCATTCCACCCACAGCCTTGCCCTGTTCAACCCCTTCCCCCTGCAGCCCCGCCCCATTCCACCCTTCCCCCACGGCCCCGCACGATTCTGCCCTACCCTGCAGCCCTGCCCCTTCCCTCGTGGCCCTGCCTCCGTTCCACCCACAGCCCCACCCTTTCCCACCCCTTTCTGCCCTTCTGCACCATTCTGCCCTTCCCCTGTGGCCCCATCCCCGCTTGCTCCTTTCTACTGCCCCACCCGTAGCCCGGAGAAGCTCGGTACCCATGCCGTGGCCCCCCGGACCATGGTGGAGAGGAAGAGCTCCTCCAACCCGGGCTGCAGCAGAAGGTAGGGTTGCCAGGTGTCCAGTTTTTGACCGGAACACTTGGTCGTGAAGGGACCCTGGCAGCTCTAGTTGGCACTGCCAACCAGACCGTTAAAAGTCCAGTCGGCGGCGCAATGGTAGCCCGGTGCTTGGGCAGGCAGGGAGCCTGCTTTAGCTCCGTGTGACTCCCAGAAGCGGCTGCCAGGTCCGTGCGGCCCCTAGACACGTGGGGGGGCCAGGAAGACTCCGCGTGCTGCCCCCACCCTTAGTGCTGGCTCCACAGCTCCCATTGGCCAGGAACCACGACCAATGGGAGCTGCAGGGACAGTGCCTGCAGGCGCGAGGGCAGCGCACGGAGCCCTCGAGGCCACCCGTGTGCCTAGGGGCTGCAGGGACCTGGTGGCCGTTTCCTGGGAGCTGTGGTAAACGCCACCGGGACCTGCACCCCAACCCCCTGGCCCAGTCCAGAGCCCGGTCCTGCACCCCAAACCTCTCATCCCGGCCCTACCCCCAGCCAGAGCCCTCACCCCCCCACCCCCCACCCCCCGCCCCTACCCCCAGCTGGAGTCCGCACCCCCTCCTGCACCCCAACCCCCTACCCCAGCCCTGAGTCCCCCTTGCTCCCCAAACCCCTCATCCCCATCCCCAACTCATAGCCCACACCCTGAGCCAGAGCCCTCACCTCCTCCTACACCCCAACCTCCTGCCCCAGCCTGGTGAAAGTGAATGAGGGTGGGGGAGAGTGAGCGACAGAGGGAGGGGGATGGAGCGAGCAGGGGCGGGGTCTTGGGGCAGGGGCGGGGCTGGGAGTGGGGCAGCGGTGTTCAGTTTTGTGCCATTGGAAAGTTCGCAACCCTAGTGGAAGGAGATTTTTCCGGGTGCCCCAAATTGGCACGGGCTCCATGGCCCATGTGGTAATCTGTCACTGAGCCTGCCTCTGACTCGGATTGGGGCCAGGGCCGAATTAACTTTTTGTGGGCCCGGTGCCAAACATATTTGTGGGCCCCCCGGGGAATGATTGTAAAAGGGGCCGGGGGCAAAAGCACAGTGGGGCAGGAGCTAGGGTTGGTCCCTGGAGCAAGGGAGGGGCCAGGGGTAAACTGCAAGTGCAGCAGGGCTGGGGAGGGGGTAAACAGGATCCCCCCCACCCCTGCCTACATAGAGCAGGTACCTACCTGGTTCTAGCCCATTCTCTTCGTCTCTCTCTGCACTGAGCTGCCCCTCCTCCCGCAGGAGCAGGACAGGTTCTCTTCCAGCTCTCTGGGGTGCGTGTTGGGAGTGGGAGGAGCGGAGACTAATGTGGCTAACCGGACACTCAGGTCCCGTTTTCTACTGGAGTTTTCAGTCTAAAACCGGATACCTGGCAACAGGGCTGCCAGAAAAGCCTGGGGGAGGCGGAGAAGCAATAATATTTAAGCGGGGGCGGGAAGCAAGTGGTGGGTGGGCTAGGGAGTGGAGAGGAGCTAGTGGGCAGGGCCATGTCTGCTGTACTGCCCAGGTAGGTTGGAGACTGTGGGGATCAGTCAACATAGTATCCCCAGCCCAGGTGAAGTGACAGCCAGTGGTGGATTTAGAACTAGTGGGGCCCCCTGGCCCTGTGCTCAGCTTCATTTTTGGGGCCCCTCCTTGGGACCCAGCCAAGAAAAAGAACATTCTCTCTTATCTCCCCCCGCCCCCATTTTTCATTCTTTTTTCGTCATCCTCCTCCTATAAGTAATAGCAAGTAAATGAAAATAAAGTGAGGTACCTTGATTGTTCTTGAGTCTAACTTATTTTTCCACAGACCACTTGAAAATCGCAGAGGGTCTCAACGGACCACTTAATGATCTTTCCAAATATTGTTTGTACCGTTAGCTAACTATTGTAAAGCGCTTTGGATAAGAGCGCTTTATTAAAAAAATGTAAAAAACGTTGGGGGGGCAGGGTCTGGCCAGGAGCTAGGGTGAGGGAGGGGGCTCAGGGTTGGGGCAGGAGATTGGGGTGTGGAGCGCTTAGCTGGGGCAGCTCCTGTTTGGTGTGAGGGGTGCAGGTGGGAATGGGGTGTGTATGTGTGCAGGAGCTCCTGTTTGGTGCTTAGGGTGGGGATGGGGATGTGGGGGGGGTGCAGGAATCAGGGCTGGGGAGGTGTGTGCAGGAGTCAGGGCAGGGGGCTGGGTGTGTGGGGGGGTGCAGGAGTCAGGGCACAGGGCTGGGGAGGTGTGAGGGGGTGCAGGAGTCAGGGCAGGGGGCTGGAAGTTTGGGGGGGTGCAGGAGTCAGGGCAGGGGGCTGTGTGTGTGTGAGGGAGGTGCTGGGAGTGTGTGGGGGGGTGCAGGAGTCAGGGTGGGCAGAAGGCTGGGGGTGTGGGCTGGGGTCATGGGGGTGTTCACGGCAGGGAGCTGGAGGGGGTATGCCCCAATTCCAGCCCCTTCCCGAAGGCCCCACCCCACCTCTTCTCCTCCTTGGAGCGGCGAGCGTGCTGAGGCTCCGCTCTTCCCCCTCCCTCCTGCCGGCAAACAGCTGATCGGCGGCAGGGAGAGGGGGAGGGGAGGGAATGTAGCACCCTCCGGGGAAGAGGCGGGGGAGGAGCTTGGCTGCCGGCAGAGCCTGCCCTGCTGCAGCAGGAGCTGGCAGCATCAAGCTTCTGCCCCCAGAGGAGAGAGCGGGGGCGAGGCGGAGAAGAGCGGGCCAGGCCGGGGCCCCTTTGGACTGTGGGCCCGGCGCTATGGTGCCAGTGGCGCCATGATAAATCCGGTACTGGTTGGAGCCCCAGCCACCCTCCACACACACACACACACACACACATCGGTCTGACTTGGGTCAGTGATAGGATGAGGGTGACTATATTTCCCAAAGGGAAATCAAGACACCATGTGGTATTTAGGGGTGTCCCCCTCCCCTGTATTGGGCTGGCCTTAAGGGCTTCCCATGCCCCCGTTTGGGGCTGGCCCGAGATGTCTGGGATCGCTGCTCACCCAAGCCCCACCGTGCGGGGCTGGTGTTGTCGCTCACTTCCCCTCCGAACATTCTTCCACACCTCACTAGGGGGGCACGCCCCACTTTTTTGGCAAAAATTGGCATTTGTCCTGTTTGCTCTTTCCAACTGATCATCACTTGGCAAGAGCAAATGGGACAAATGCCCAGTTTTGCCAAAAAAAAATCAGGACGTCCGGGACAGGGCTTTAAAAAGGGAACTGTGCCAGCCAAAACAGGATGTATGGTCACTGTAGTCGGTGAGCGCTCTGGGAGGCATGGATCAGCGTTCACCTCATGCTCCCCATCAGTACGCGGCCCAAGCTGGGGGGAAGCTAATGATCCAAACAGTGGACCAAATTCGGTGAATCCTGGTCACATGCCACCTGAGGCATGTTGCGCATACACTAAGAAGTGAGCAGTCTAGACTTGGGTCCTAGGCCCTGCTAGTGGGGGTAGGTCAGGGCCAAAGTCTCCCTGAGACTCGGGTCCAAGCCTTGCCATTTTGCAGTGTGGATGCAACTCAAGAGGCAGATCCAAGTCAGAAGGTCTGCGTAGTGCAGTATGGACGCATTAGCATGGCTGTGAGACCCGAGTCCAGTAATTCTAAGCCCAGTTTACAATGCAGTGTGGACGCTCAAGTGTGGGCTTGGAAACACTGAGTCTACAGGCTCGGGTCCCACAGACCCAGATTTATATAATGCAGTGTAGACATGCCGTGGGAGGTGCCCTTTGTGAGACGGGGTGGGGCAGGCAGGCTGGGTCCCTAATGCTAGTGATCCACCTGGTCTCTTGTTCTACTAATGTTTCCAAGGCTTCCAGCCCCAAGAAAGTGATGGAAGGGGCAGTGACCCGGAAGAAGAAGGTGGCACCCAAGTTGGTACTCACTGAAGAACAGAAACAGCAGTTGCGAGAGGCCTTTGATTTGCTTGATACCGATGGCACTGGTACTGTCGATGTGAAGGACTTGAAGGCAAGCAAGAAATCACAAATACACTGTGTACTTGTTGCAAAAAGGCCTAGACCAGCAGATGGTAAAACAGGTCTAGTGCTGTAGCTTTCAATGCTAAAAACTTGTGTTTTCTAGAAAACTCAGGGGTTTGGGTAAGAGGGGGTTTCCTCCAGCTCCATTCTTCTCACCTGACTGCTCACTGGCTACCCTGCCAGCTGCCCCTTTCTTCTCCAACATCACTCTTTGGGGGTATAGCTGACCAGACAAATCAGGGACATGGATCCAGAAACTCAGTTTTGTGGTTGTGGGTAAGAGTTTAAGAAATCTCCTTCCACTGTCATGCAAACCACTTTGTTTCATATCCAAATTAAAGATCTCTTCTGCACCAAGATAATGTAGTCTATATAGCAGGAACTTTCATAGAATCATTGGATATCAGTGTTGGAAGGGACCTCAGAGGGTCATCTAGTCCAACCCCCTGCTCAAAGCAGGACCAATCCCCAACTTTATTCTGAGGTTCCCAGAAACCAGGTACTACTGCATAATATACTTTGTGTGATTCTTTACAACTAAGGGGTAATACTGCAGTAAAAATGAAACACACATTCTTTATCTCTATGTATATAACCGGTAGTGGTGAAATAAATATTTCCCTAATCGTCTATAATTGGTAGGTGTTTGAGGGGACTAGGTGCTTCAAAGGCCTGGGAATGGGATGTAGTGCTTTTCACTTCCAGATTGCTGGTTCAAATCCAACCCAAGGCAATAGTGACTGAAAGGCTTTGCCATTTGATGGCATACATTTTGTAGAGTGAAATAAATTGTGTAGACGTCTCAGTCCTGGTATCCCAATCACAATAGAAAACCACACCATCAGTGGCATTAATTGATCTTGTTGGCATCTCAGCAGAGGTGCCAGTTTGAATGGACCTTGCAGACTGAACATGCTCAGACCTCTTAGCTGTAGTGCCTCCAGGGAAAGTTTGAGGCACATTGGAAAGGCAGGGTGGTGGAAGTCTGCATTGCTGCAGTCTATTCTGTATCTGTTTCTATGTTCCAGATAAACAGATTCAGCCTTCAGGGCTGTTGATCTGGCATGTTTCACCAACACTAAATTCTGTCTTTCTTTCATACACTATTTAAAGGACATTGTCCACTTAAAAGTCACATTTCTGTCTGAAAATGTGTGACCTACTTGTTATATAAATCACCTAAGGTGAGTGTAATTGAACAGATTAGAGAAGGAAAAACATTTTCTTTTATTCCCCCCCCCAATTTGTTTACATAGTGCTTCTGACAACAATTTGGGAATAGTCAGTTTCACTGTTTCCTCTGTCTGGTAAGTCAGTTTCCCCTATGTGTATCTGGGACTGTCACACAGAAGCAAAGGAGAGAAAAGCATTTTAAACTGTGTGTGTGTGTGTGTGTGTGTGTGTGTTGGGGGGGGGGAAGCATTGTGAAACTTCAAAAATTGGCAGAGACACTCAGGGCTTGGTGTAGTATAGTATCATTCATTGGTGCTGTAAACTGGATGCTTTAACTCTGAATGCCAAAAAGCAAATGTATAAGGTCAAAGACATCAGGGGCTTGTCTGGAATAACTGCTCCACATGCCGCGCAGGCCATCTGGGACACCTGCTCTTTGTCAGGTCCGTTGCCTTGCTAGCGTTTATTTGACTTGCAGTAGCACCTTGTGCGTCCATCCCCATTTTTTTTTTCCATAGTATGCGATGTGGTTTCAATTGTCTCCCGCTCTTCGCTTCTGTTTGCATTGCCAGCCTATCTTCCATGTTTGCAGGTGTCCATAAGAGCCCTTGGGTATGAACCCAAGAAAGAAGAGATGAAGAAAATTGTATCAGAAGTTGATAAGGAAGGGTCAGGGAAGATCAACTTTGATTCCTTTTTGTATGCAATGACTCAGAAAATGGTATGTAAATCGGGTTAGCCACAAAAGTCCTGGGCATCCTTAATATGGAGGTCTTTGATGGGAATTTAGAGCACTTAGGACCCAAGAGAGTCCAGCATTTCCAATTCAAAACACTAACCAGAATTCAATATTAGAAAGAGAGAGAGGAAGCGCCAGGTTGGCTGCTAAAGACAATCATGAACAAACAAGTGATAAACAAACAAGAACAATTTAACATCCATAGACAATCCTTATGCAAGACCCTCTGAAACACTTCAGCCTACCTGTTGTGCTATCTCTGACACCTGCCCTTTAACTTGGACCACTACCAGGATATTCCTGTCCTGGTCTCTCAGACTCTTGCAACTTTGTTCATGGCTTTTCCTTAAGTAATAAAAGAGAATGACAAATGTAAAATAGTGGCAAAAAATGAACTCTGCAGTGGCCAGGTGCCATTCAAGATATATCCTCTTAGCTTAGATTCTTAATAATGTGCATGAGAAGGGATGTTAGAATGCTGGTGGATCACCTTCACCTTTGCATATTATTGTTCTGCGCTTCTTTGTTAAGTCTGAGCCAGAATCCAGAGAGGACATTCTGAAAGCCTTCAAGCTCTTTGATGACAATGGAACTGGCAAAATCTCTTTCCAAAATCTCAAACGTGTGGCCGGTGAGATTGGGGAAAACCTCACAGATGAGGAGCTGCAGGTTTGTAATGTACATCTTTGCCTTTGCACAATGTTGACATGAGTCTTTGTTTCATGGAAGATTAATTTAATTATTAGAGGAACTGTGCAATGTTCTGAAACATTTTACTTTCCTAGTGGCATCTTCTTGTTGCTACTCTAGTTTGTGGGTGTGTAACACTGACAGACCACAGTCATTGGTGGGCAGAATCAAACCTGGGGCCTCTGGAGCTTAGTGCTCCGAATGAGCTAAAAGTTATATGGCTATTAGCTAAGGCTGTAGAGCAGACTCATTAACCTTTCGCTCTCTAAGTCAGTGGTCTCCAACCTTTTTATGCCCAAGATCACTTTTTGAATTTAAGGACAACCCAGGATCTATCCCGCCCATTCCCCAGAGCCCTGCCCCATTCACCCCATACCCCACTCTCTCCGTCGCTCACTCTCCCCCACTTTCACGGGCTGGGGCAGGGGATTGAGGTTTGGGAGGGGGTTTGGGGTGCTGGCTCTGGGAGGGGGGGTCAGGGCTGGGGAAGGGGATTGGGGTGCAGGAGGGTGTTCGGAGTGCAGGATGGGGTGCTGGCTCTGGGAGAGGGGTCAGGGCTGGGGATTGGGGTGTGGCCTCCTGCCGGGTGGCACTTACCATGGGCAGCTCCCAGTTGGCGTCACAGTGAGGATAAGGCAGGTTCCCTGCCTGCCCCAGTCCCACACCACTCCCAGAAGGGGCCAACATGCCTCTGCAGCCCCTGGGAGGAGGGGTGGGGGGCATGTGGCTCTGTGCGCTGCCCCCTCTGCAGGCACCGCCCCCAAAGCTCCCATTGGCCACAGTTCCCCATACCCAGCCAATGGAAGCTGTGGGGGTGGTGCTTGCAGGCAGGAGCAGCAGCGCGCGGAGACCCCTGTCACACCCCCCCCCGGGGCTGTGGGGGCATGCTGGCCGCTTCCGGGAGTGGCGTGGGGCCGCGGCAGGCAGGGAGCCTGCCTTAGCGGCAGCCCTGCTACACCACTGAAGATTGCGATTGACTGGGAGAGTCCCGAGGATCGACCAGTCGATCATGATTGACGGGTTGGTGACCACTGCTCTAAGTGGTCTCAGTGCCATTAGATGGGACAGAACACCACACCCAGGAGGTGTGTGGGTTACATACTTCTCCTAGCTGAGGAAGTGTGTCCCGTGCTTCAGAGACTTCCCAGTTCAAATCCTGGACGAGCCCCTACTTATAACACCGACAGACCCCGGTCGTCGGCAGGCAGGATCGAACCTGGGGCCTCTGGAGCTTCGTGCATGAGCCTCTACTGCAGGGGTCTCAAAGTCCCGGCGCGCAGGCCATCTGTGGCCCAAGAACCTCCCCACTGCAGTCTGCATAAACTTTTTAAAAAGTTTTTTCATCCTGCCGGCTGATGGGGGGCGAGGGGGTGCAGGAGGGGAGCAGGCAGGAGAGATTCACATGCCCCTCTCCCCAACTTTGCTCCATTCTGTTGCTCCGGGGGACCCTTCCAGGGGTTGCACTCGGCAATGTGTCATTCATCTCGGGCAGTTCGGCTCCCTGCAAACGGTTCCCTATCCCTGCCGTTGCTGGCAGAGCCACGGAGGAGAGAGACCCATACAGCTCCGCTGCCGGCTGTCAGCTGCAGGCACCGCCCCCCGCAGCTCCTATTGCCTGGGGGAGAGGGCAGAGGCACCATCACTAGTTGCTGGGCAGAGTCAGCCATGGAGGCAGCATCATTAGTTGCCAGGCAGAGTCAGCCGGGGCGACATGAAGCCAAGGGAGTGGGGGAAAAGGGTGGGAAACGGGCTGGGAGATGGTGTGAACACCATCTTCAGTGACATTATTGGCCCGCTGGGAGGATTTGAGGACTGGTACTGGCCCTAAAATAAATTGAGTTTGAGACCCCTGCTCTACTGCATGAGCTAAAAGCCATATGGCTGTTAGCTAAGGCTGTAGAACAGACTCAATTAGGGTGACCAGATGTCCCGAATTTATAGGGACAGTCCCGATTTTGGGGTCTTTTTCTTATATTGGCTCCTATTACCGCCCACCCCCTGTCCTGATTTTTCACACTTGCTGTCTGATTGCCCTAAGACTCATTAATCCAGGGGTGGGCAAACTATGGCCCGCGGGCCGGATACGGCCCACCAGCCGTTTTAATCCAGCCCTCAAGCTCCCACTGGGGAATGAGGTCTGGGGCTGGGAGCAGGGTTGGGGGTCGCTACGTTCGGCTCCCAGAAGCAGGGACATGTGCCCCCCTCCGGCTCCTACGCATAGGGGCAGCCAGGGGGCTCCGCTCTGCAGACTGCCCCTGCCCCAAGTGCTGTACCCGTAGCTCCGATGGGCCGGGAACCGCGGCCCATGGGAGCTGCAGGGGCAGAGCCTGTGGACAGGGCAGTGTGCAGCAGAGCTGCCTGGCTGCGCCTCTGCATAGGAGCCGGAGGAGGGACATGCCACTGCTTCAGGGAGCTGCTTGAGGTAAGCACTGCCCCGAGCCTGCACCCCTGAGCCACCCCCCCCCACGCCTCAACCCCCTGCCCCAGCCCCGATCCCCCTCCCACCCTCCAAACCCCTTGATCCCAGCCTGGAGCACCCTCCTGCACCCTAAAACCCTCATCCCCAGCCCCACCTCAGAGCCTGCACCCCCAGCCAGAACCCTCACCCCCCCAGTGCACCAACCTCTTGCCTCAGCCCTGATCCCCCTCCTGCCCTTCAAACCCCTCAATCCCAGCTCTGAGCACCCTCCTACACCCCAAACCCCTCATCCTCAGCCCTGCACCCCCAACCAGAGCCCTCACCCGCACATCCCCCCCCTCCACCCGAGCCCCCTCCTGCACCCTGAACTCTTCAGTTCTGGCCCCACCCTGGAGCCTGCACCCCCCAGCCAGAGCCCTCACCCTCTCCCACACCCCCACCCCAATTTCATGAGCATTCCTTGTCCGCCATACAATTTCTATACCCAGATGTGGCCCTTTGACCAAAACATTTTCCCACCCCTGCATTAATCGCTCTCTCTCTCTCTCGGGCTATGTCTACACTGGCAATTGAATGACAAAACTTACCATGACAAGTGCCAATATGAACAGCGCATTGTCTGCAGGAGCACTCTCCTGCTGACAACGCAAACACTGATCATTGAGGGTGGAAGTTTTTTGTCGGCAGGAGAGCCGACAAACAGCGGCTAAACTGCATGAATTTTAGTGGCACGGCTGTGGCAACACAGCCATGTCACTAAAAGCTGTGTAATGTAGTGTGACAAAGTTCCTCCTCAGTCTTGGTGGGTCCTGCACTTATTGGCAGATTTTCTTGCCTCAGAGATTCACCATGTGGGTTGGGGAACAGCCCAGAGACCTTCCCCTCTGGAAGAACCCACAGTCCAGGTCAATTGGGAGGTTTGGAGGGAACCCGGGCCCACCCTCTACTCCGGGTTCCAGCCCAGGGCCCTGTGGACTGCAGCTGTCTATAGTGCCTCCTGTAACAGCTACATGACAGCTACAACTCCCTGGGCTACTTCCCCATGGCCTCCTCCAAACACCTTCCTTATTCTCACCACAGGACATTCCTCCTGGTGTCTGATAACACTTGTGCTCCTCAGTCCTCCAGCAGCAAACCCTCTCACTCTCAGCTCCTTGCACCTTTTGCTCCCAGCTCCTCACGCTCACACTACAAACTGAAGTGAGCTCCTTTTAAAACCCAGGTGCCCTGATTAGCCTGCCTTAATTGATTCTAGCAGCTTCTTCTTAATTGGCTCCAGGTGTCCTAATTAGCCTGCCTGCCTGAACTGGTTCTAGCAGGTTCCTGATTACTCTAGTGCAGCCCCTGCTCTGGTCACTCAGGGAACAGAAAACTACTCATCCAGTGACCAGTATATTTGCCCTCTACCAGACTCCTGTACCCCACTGGTCTGGGTCTGTCACAGTAGACAAAGCCTAAGTGGTCTCGGTGCCACTAGAATGGGACGGAATAGCACATCCAGGAGGTGTGTGGGTTATAAGTGGGGAGAGGGGATTATGAGAGGGGATTTCTGCCTTCATCTGAAACATCAAATATTGGCCAGAGAGGGAGGTAGGATATTGGATTCCACACACAGAGGATCTGCTGTGACAAATTATTTGTTACTTAGTGCAGATAAGCAATAATCATTCTCCTAATAGATGACAAGACTGGAACATCCCTTTCTTACCTTTCTATTTGCTTTAGGAGTCTTTCCTGGAACTCTCCCATTTCCCTATACCTAAAAGGGTCATTCACTTTTTTAGTTCCTATGCAATGAATGGGCAATGCAAAGTGATGTATCATGGCCAGTTATGGTTACATCTCATCTGATGAGAGCATTGTTTCATTTGTAGTATGTGGCTACTCTCATTTGGCTTTGTGATTCTCCTTTTTTGTACCACTTAGACCGTGATAGTCCTTCTCAACTGTATGCATTTATATAAAAATCATCACACGTCAGTAATGCATTGTAAAGACAGAGCAGTTGGAATTTTACAATTGATCAAACTCCAGGAATTTAGACCAACATGCCTGGACATTAGCAGAACCGGTAGTATATTTTCTCACCATAGAGAGTCTTGTTGATAAAACGATTACAAGAAATCTTTGCTTAATAACAAAATGGATAAGGAAAAATCCCGCTGGCAATCTTTTTTTTCCCTTCTAGTCTGACATTTACAGCCCTTTTCTGGGTGAGCACAGAGTTCAACATGTAAAAGGATTCAGTAGCACATACACTATTGCAGCCACTACTTACAGCTTGTAAACTCCGACTCTTCACTGTGTCCTCACCAGTGGCTTAGTGGAGTTGCAGTGCTCTGGATTTACACTGTTGCAATACATCAGGAACTTCTTCCCCAACACTATATTACCCAATATAGCTCGAAATAGGATAAGTGCTTTGAATACTTTGGATGTGAAAGCTGCTTGAATAAAACCCTGTTTGCTTTCCATTCCTCTCCCCTAATCTGCTTTAATGTGCTTCTTCTGGGTGCAGTTTGTCCCTTTGTAGAGATCCAGCACAAGACCTATGCACTGCTTAGGTCCCATTTAAGCCCTATGTTGAGTGCTGCATAGATCTTGTGCTGAAACTCTGTGAAGGGGTGAATTCCATCTTCTCTGAGCCCACCTAATCTGGTCTCTGAATCCTTATTGTCCTGCAGGAAATGATTGATGAAGCAGATGTGGATGGAGATGGGGAAGTGAATGAACAGGAGTTCCTGCGGATTATAAGGATGAACAGCATGTAGCTAGATGTTTCTCTTTTCTTTTTACTCACAGTTTTAAATACAGTTGGTAGGTACATCTGTTTTTTCTCCAGCCTCTCTCCATTCTCCTGGGGTTAAAAAATGGGGGATCACTATCAGAATTTTTCAGAATCATGGTTGCAGTGGGACTGAATTACTGATTTTTAGCTGTCTATATCCTAATGTTGGATTCCATTGCAGAATTTTTAAATGATCTCAGGTAGCATTCTGGGTGTAGGTCAAATATTGACTTGTTTTTTGATTGTTTTCATGTTCCAATGTGATAACTTCATTCCCCTTTTAATTGCTTCCAAAAAAGGCAGGGGAACAGACTTTCGTGAATAACAGGAAACATTTTTCAAAATGTACTTTTTAAGAAGGAGCCGATCCCAGCGTCCGATCCCAGAAACCCGATCAAAATCTGTTCCTGGCACATACTTAGGCCCTGATCCTGCAATCAGATCCGTGCTGGTGGACCCTGTGCCCCTGCAGAGACCCATTGACTTCAAAGGGCCTTCCTGCAGGGGTCTGTCCATTCAAAGCCAATTGCAGAATGGGTCCTTATTTGTCTATAGCATTCACCTAAAAAGTGAGATGCATGTATCTGAGACTTTTAAGTTGATTTTGATTTAGCCCAGTGTGGGAATTTGAGGTGTTTCACTTTAGCAATGTGAGAGTCCCAGTGCAGTGAATTGGTATAGAAGATGCATTGCAGATGGTGAACTCTGTCATCACCCTTCCTGAAGTACACACTGAGTTGTCATCAGTATTTTATCCCCTGGCCTGATTTTACACTCTGGTTTGGGAAACACTGTTTTCATTTGTTATATCCACTGGCGCTAATTATTTTCTGTATCCCAATAAAACTTGTTTATAACTTTTTCTCTTCATGGATTAGTTCTCTCCACTGCTTTGGACTCTTCATCCATAGCATGATATTCCACCTAAATGTTTCCTTTTTATAATTTCAGCCCATTGCTGCCTCCACATCCCCACAGGGATTACCCTCAAAAGTTAATTCTGATGGTGTATGGATGAACTTGGTACTCAAGCCCACTGCATTGTGGAACTCCTGCACCCACTGAGAGCGATTCTGGGGCTAGTGGGAGAGGACTCCTGCTTTCTGTATGCTAGAGAGTGCCTTGGAGAGCAAGGACTGTAGAGGCACAGGGTCTCCATACAGCTCACTCTGGCCACTGCAAGTTCCCTTGAGATCCATGCATAGCGTCATGGTATTTAATAATAGGGTTTTTGGATGAGGCCTTAAAAGTGGAGTGTGACGTATTGAGCATATGTCTGTGTCAAACTGTGAACTCCTTTTTGTTTTGTGAACACCATTTCTGATTGTAACCTTAATTGTGGGCTTCCCTTTACTTGTAACCTCCATATTGGATTAAGGCACCCACTTTGTGCTGAAACTCAGCCTGGCCCTGACAAGACTGTCTGTTCTAGACACTGTCTTGTTCACGCTGGGCTGTAGGACAGTTCAAGGATGTGACAATGAGAGAGCCATTAAGGGCCATCAAAGTTGAAAGACTCTTTCCTAGTGGAACAATGGGTTTTCTATCAGTAGTGCCATTGACTTTGAATGACTGTCTACCCAGAAGCCTCTTGTGGGGCTGGAGCCTGGAATTCCTCTAGATGAAAGACATGGGCAAAAAGAGGGCAAAGATGGGTGATTTTCTGAGCTGGGGACAGACCACCACCACATGCCAGATGACCAGGCTAAGGAGAGGAAAGGCAGAAAGGACTGCCCAGCCTATGGATTCTGGCCAAACCTAGGACTCGCAGGAAGGGTGAGATCAGACTCAGAGGGTGCATTCAGGACTCTTGTTTTTTCCCAAAAATTTGTAAAACTCTAGTGCTTTCAAGATTAAAAGCATCTGTAGATAAGAAATTCCTTTGCTAAGCCTGTGCTCCTTGCTTGCCTGCCATGTAGTCCCTGAAAGGGTTAATCAAGCTCAGAATGGTGGAACTCAGATCTAATGTGTATAAGCAACTGTGGGCCCAGGAGGGCTGAGGCACTGGTTTCAGGGTTAAGGTGTCTGGGCTGCAGAGCCCCACGTCCCAAGGAAGGGATTCAGACATGAGGCCTTGCCTGGGAATGTGCCTTAAAGACTCAGAGCTAGGAACAGGAGTACTTGTGGCACCTTAGAGACTAACAAATTTATTAGAGCATAAGCTTTCGTGCATCCGAAGAAGTGGGTTGTAGCCCACGAAAGCTTATGCTCTAATAAATTTGTTAGTCTCTAAGGTGCCACAAGTACTCCTGTTCTTTTTGCGGATACAGACTAACACGGCTGCTACTCTGAAAGAGAGCTAGGAACAGTGACCAAGCTCTGATCAGACCCAGTTGGCTTAAGAGCACGTAGATCCAGAAGTTGGGTCCAGTCACAACAGACTAGTGTCTTTCCAGGGAGGAGGGCTGAGCCAAGTTATGACACTGAGGTCCTGTCTGGTCTGCATGGATATTAAAGACCCTGGGCAGTTTAAATGAGAGCAGAGGTTTGGCCCTGTGATCCTTGCCCAAAATCTCCCTTCACCTCCATTGTGGTGTTGTGTCTTGTTTGCAGGTTGGGTCTTGTCCTCTTCCCCAGAGATGGTTGCATTTCAGTGGGTGCCATATGTATCTAGTTTGCAAAGCACTCCAGGATCCTTTGGAATGCAGATTGCTACATAAGTGGAAAATATTTAGTTAGCAGAAAGCAACCAAAATTTCAGAAACTTATCTACGATTTTATATCATGTGCAGCACTTCTCAAGACCAGATTTATGGGGGATCATTTTGGATCTGCTAAGTCAGGACCTCTCTAACTGTGGCTGTCCCTTCACCAGCTGGGTAAAGGAAATGAGATACCCCTAGAAGTGCTAGCTAAATGGGGGTGTATGTTTGACCACATTCTGGGAGGCAAGTGTGTGGTTGTATTATTTGAATTTGTTTCAGTGAATCATGTGTTTATATACTAGGTTTTTCTCCTGTAGCACAAAAGAAATTCTAACAATGGTGCAGGCCCATTGCTATAGACTGTAATCAAGTCACCCTTTAAGCTTCTTGCCTAGGTTGTTTTCCCAGGGCTTGTAACTGGTAATTCCCTCCATCCCCATTCTGCTGGAGCAAAGGCAAAGCAATGACATGCACAGTATTCATTAATATAATGTGAAATACAAAAATAAATTCTGGTGTTCAATCAAACAGAGGCCAGCATATATAAGATGTTTGTAATTTTATTCAGTAGAAATGACACTGAGTTTTTTTTTTGATCTGAGTAATGAATACCAGTTCATGTCTAGTTATCAGTGTTGTTGGAGTCTCTTGGGGAATACAAGCCCTGCAGTGTCTTTAAGGGAATCTAAGTCATCTAAAAATCAAATACTCTTTCCCAACCATAGATGCCTGAAAAGGATTTAGAATGGGCAAGTCTAACTTTGACCGGATGAGGAGGAGAATGATGGACTCTGAAGATGGAGCTTTGTACACACATTTTCTTGGGTTGGCTTCCAAGTTCCACAGAAAAAGTCAAAAATGAAATTTTGATAGGAAATAGCTCCCTCCTTAGAGGTTTTACTCTCTACGTCCCCATTTCTAAGAAACTTTCAAAGCTTACATTCCTTCCCATTTCCGAGGTAGTGGGAGGTGGGGGGGACTGAAGCGTTATGTTTGTGTGTGACATCCCTTTATATGTTGGCAAGATAGCAAAGATGCATCATATCTCAGAAGGGAAAAAAGCCCATTAATATCAAAATTCCAGGACTTTAGATAAACTGATGGAAATTTCAGGTCAATCTCTCAGAGTCTGGAATAACCCAGAAAAATCCTCTGCCATTCAGCAACCTAATGACAATTGCTACATGTCAGGCCACTAGAAGCCTGACATAAGCACGAGATTGTGATGCGCCTAAGTACTATTATTATTGCCAATGCTTCCATTTCATTGCCAGTGTATGACAGGGTATCTGTGGGTAAAAGTGGCAAGATCTTAGCGATAAAGATGCCCAGGTTTGTCTAGAGCAACGTTTCTCAAATGCGGCCACCGTGGACTTTTCGTGCAGCCGCGACAGCCTCCTGGGCGGTGATGGAGGGTGGGGGAACCATCAGCCCCTCCCTCCTTGTTGCTCCTGGATGCGCGGAGAGAGGTGGGGCACAACGCTGCAGGAGCAAGGTGAGTTCTTGACCCACGTTGGGGGGAGGGGGTTTGGGCGGCAGGCTCCAGCGGCAAGACTTCAGGAACCTGGCCATGCAGCCCCAGGCTCTGACTGTGGGGCAGTGGGTACTGACTCCCCCAGCTCTGGCCACGCAGCCCTGGCCTCCAGCTGCGATGCTTCAGCCTCTGGCCCCTTGTTCCAGCTGCATGGCAGCAGATGCTGGCCCCCGGCTCCTGTCCCAGGCTTCCGTCATGCAGTGTCAGGCACTGGTCACAGGCCCCGGCCCCAGCCACACAGCAGTGGGTTCCAACCGCAGGGCTTTGGGCGCCAACCTCGGCCTCTGGCCACAGGGCAGCAGGTGCTGACCCCAGCTCTGGCCATGGAGCTTCAGTTGGCCTTTGGCCCGTATTTCCAGCTGTGTGGTGGCAGGCGCTGGCCCCGGGCTCCAGCCATGTGGCCCTAGCTCCTTGCACTGATCCCCTGCCCCAGCTGCACAGTAGCAGGCGCCAGCCCACAGCTCTGTTCCAGGGCTCTGGCCACGTGGTGGCAGGAGCTGGCCCCGGGTGCTAACCCCTGGCCGAGGCTGCACAGCAGCGAGTGTTAGCTTCAGCCATGCAGCAGTGGGCACTGATTCCTGGCTCCAGGCACGCACTCCTGGGCTCCGGCATCCAACTGTGGTCTCTGGCTGTGCGGTGGCAGGCACTAGCCATGGGCGCTGACCTACAGCTCCGGATGCATGGCAGCAGGCTCCGATCCCTGGCTCCAGTCACACAGTTCCTGTCTCCAGCTCAGGGTTCTGGCCACAGGTACTGAGCCCAGGCCCTGACCGCATGGCAGCAGACACCAGGCCCTGGCTCTGGCCATGCAACAATGGGGCTCATCACCCACCCCTATCGCCTCTGGCCCCTGCTGTCTCCCCGTCCAGGGCTTAATGGGTCCTGGGGCTTGCTGAGAAAAGTGATATTAACAAACATGCAAGTATCACTTCTCACAGCAGACTTACTAGCTATCTGTGAAAAGTGTATGTTTGTTAATATCACTTATCACTTTTTGTAGCCTCCCAGGTAGCTACTAAGTGTGCTGTGATATTAACAAATACACAAATATCACTTTTCACAGCAAGCCCCAGGACCCACTAAGCCAGGAGTGGGCAAACTTTTTGGTCTGAGGGCCACATCGGGTTTCGTAAATTTTATGGAGGGCCAGTTAGGGGAGGGGGTCGTAGCCTGGCCCCCACCTCCTATCTGCCCCCCTGGGGACTCCTGCCCCATCCAACCTCCCCTGTTGGCCCCCCCGGGACCCCTGCCCCATCCAACCACCCCTTCTCCCTATCCCCCGACTGCCCCGGTACCCCTGCCCCTGACTGCCCCCTGGGAACCCTTAAACCCTTTTTTAGGAAAAAAGTGTCCGTGTGGCCACCAGTGAGAGTTGGTGGCCGCACTCTGAGGCCACCAAAAATTTTGTTGCGAGAACCCCTTGTCTAAACGTCTCCTTCCTTGGTAGCTAGCAGCAGTCCAATGGGAAAGGGCCCCGTGTGATTAAAAATAAGCTTTGTGGCACAAGGGTGTAGGGAGAAGGACAGCAGTGGCCCACTCTCAGTGGCTGCTCTCCATTACTATGTATCTGAAGTTTATTTCAGAAGACTTGGATTCCCATCATTTTCCAGCATGTTCTGTAGTCAGGCATTCAGGCAAGTTTCAGCACTTCTTTGATCATCTTTCCAATACCATCATAGACTTCATGGACCGGGGCATTGCACATGAAGGCACTGGTCGTCACTAGCTTGTTCTTCACATCCACATGAATCTCGTCTACATGCTTGTTCACGTGTTTGCAGCCAAGTTCCTTCATGGCCTCTGCAGTCTTTGCATAGGGCCACCTAAAGGAAGAAGTGAGAATAAATCAGGTGTGTGTAGCTGATCCTGACACAGAGAGACTCTGCCAAGGCCTTAGATGGAAAGGATCCTTCTCATTAGGTGTCCCATAGCAGTAGCTAGGAGTCTGCCATTGCTCAATGAATACCCCTCAGGTAAGAGACCACTGTGTGGAAGACAGTGTATACTGTGCCAGAGGAATTCCTCAGAAGTCAAGGAATTAAGCAAACTCTATACTACTCCCTCTCCCTCACTAAAGTAATCAAAAAGCCTCAATAAATTTAAACATTAAGGGTAGGTCTACACTACGAAATTAGGTCTATTTTATAGAAGTCAATTTTTAGAAATCGATTTTATACAGTCGACTTCCTATGTCCACACTATGCGCATTAAGTCGGCAGAGTGTGTCCTCACTACCATGGCTAGCATCGACTTACGGAGCGTTGCACTGTTGTAACCTCTGTCCATCATGCCCTTAGAGATTTTTTCAAATGTTTTGGCATTTCGTCTTTTGGAACAGAGTTCTGATAGCACGGATTCGTCTCCCCAAACAGCGATCAGATCCAGTACCTCACGTTCGGTCCATGCTGGAGCTCTCTTGCGATTCTGGGACTGCATGGTCACCTGTGCTGATGAGCTCTGTCTGGTCACCCGTGCTGATCAGCTCGCCATGCTGGCCAAACAGGAAATGAAATTCAAAAGTTCCCGGGGCTTTTTCCTGTCTACCTGGCCAGTGCATCTGAGTTGAGAGTGCTGCCCAGAGCAGTCACAATGGAGCACTGTGGGATAGCTCCCAGAGGCCAATACCATCGAATTATGTCCACACTACCCCAAATTCGACCCGGCGATGTCGATTTCAGCACTAATCCCCTCGTCGGGGAGGAGTACAGAAATTGATTTTAAGAGCCCTTTAAATCGACAAAAATGGCTTTGTCGTGTGGACAGGTCCAGGGTTAAATTGATCTAACGCTGCTAAATTTGACCTAAACTCATAGTGTAGACCACTAAGACTCTAGCTAGCATCCCTCTGTAAAGCTACAAGTAGCCCCCCTCCCCCAGGTACCTGTATTGGGTTATTGACCCACTCTTCTCAAACAAGTTAACTCTCCCTCAAACAGCAGATGCCAGCACAATACATTTCCTTCCACTGGGATAATTCAGCCCCAGCTTTGAGCCCCTTTACTACAATGATCTCGGCCTGGTTAGTGGAGGAGAAGAGGTACTGTGGCAGTATGTACCATAAATGACATAATGAGCATTGTGAATCACTACCCTGGTGTGTTTCCTACCCTTGGGTTGAGAGAGGTGGACCGGTGTGCTGTGTCGATCCTTCAGAGTCAGATTTTGCAGTAGGGCTCGGCGACACTTACTTCTCACATTCTTTGTCCTGTCCAACCGTCAGCTCGCATCCTGGGAAGATTTTGGCTGCCAGGACTGGGGAGATGCAGCACATGCCAATGGGTTTCTTGGCAGCATGGAATGACTTCAAAGTGTCCTCCACAACTTTAGAGACCGTGCAGTTCTTCCCCTGTGTTGCCCAAGTACTGAGGTTCTTAGCCACTCCAAAACTACCTCAGAATAGGGAAAGAGATTAAAAATAGGTGATTGTTTTAATGTAGGATTTTTTTTTTGCCAACTCACCTATTTCACTAAAATGCTTAACTGAATTTGGTGCAGTGTGGCATTTATCCATGGTCCAAACATATTTCAATAAAACCTCAGCAAGCCACCATGTCTGCTGAGTACCTGCAGCTCCCTCTTAGGCCTGGCATAGTTTTGCTGGCATAGCTAAGTCAGTTGGGAGTATTGGAGGGGAAAAAATCACACTCCTGACAGATATAACAATACCAGAAAAAAAAAAGTAGAGACAGTTATACCAGCCGACGAGTACCTGATTCAGTATCGCTTATTTAATTCAGGCAACTGGTATAAGCTGTACTGGCACTAGAATTCTTTTGGCAGCATAAACTGCATTTCTGCTAAATGGGTTTGCTGGTATAGCTCCACTGGTGTAGTTATACTGGCAAACTCTTTGTAGTACAAACAAGGCTGTAAGCCTTACCTGCCAATTACCATCCAATAGAAACGGCAAAGAATCCTCGTGGTCTCTGAACAGAGTTAATCTGAAGATGTATTAGTGCTTTATTCACAAACCCGCTCCTCTTCCATTCTCTTATTTTTCTAAAGTAATGGTGGAACATGTTGCCAAAATAGTTCTCCTAATTAAATCCTCATCTAGGGTCTGAGCCTGTGCTCATTGAAGTCAACAGCCACGCTTCCATTAGTTACAACAGGTGCAGGAGTGATTGGGCTTTTCATCATTTGCTCTTCCACTACCCCTCCGTGATTCTCCTGTCTGCGCTAATGGCTGAACCAGGTACATCTTGATGATGTTTTCTACTAAAGTCAAGAAAAGAGAAGCATGGCAGGTTCTGTGGTGGACCAGAAGTAGTGTGGCCCACTGACTAGAGCACTGAAGTGAGACTCAGGAGGGCTGGGCTGTAGTTCTGGCTCTGCCATTGGTCTGTTGGGTGACCTAGAGCGAGTCCCTTCACCTATCTGCGCCTCAGTTTCCCCATCTGTAAAATGGGGATAATGATAGTTATGCTCTCTGTAAAGCGCTTGAGATCTACCAGTGAAAAGCTGTAGATGAGAGCTGGGTATAATTATTTCCTCCTCTTCTCCCAAATAAGCACCTTCACTTCTACAGCCAGTTAAAATAGAAGACACATCAAATCACATCTATGCCAAGCAGTCTGTTAGTGCAGCTCTCCTAGTGTGCTGCTGCTTTTCTTTAGGGCAACAAATCCTTTCTCTCCCAACCTCCAAAAACCACCACCAACAAAAAAACTCCTCTTCCTGGTGACTCATGGTGGGGCCTCTCCAGGTCATGCCAATGGAGAGCTGCTCCCTTCCATGGGATCTCTAAGGGGATGTCTATGCATCAGCACAGGTAGGCAGACGCACTCTAGCTCTGCTTGAGCTAGCATGCTAAAAATAGCGGTGTGGTCTCGGTGGCTCACGCTAGCCACTTGAGTACAATCCTGTCCAGATCCAGGCAGCTAGCCTGTGCTGCCATGGCCACACTGCTATTTTTAATCCGCTAGCATAAGCAGAGTTAGTGCTTGTCTGCCTACCCATGCTGGGAGTCCACAATCAGCCCTACCTGGTATGATCAGGGCATCCAGTTCCTTGACATTAAGCATGGCTAGGTCCTTGATGTTGCCTCTGGCGATTCTGGCACTCTCAACCAGCACGTTGCGTTTCTCCTGAGTTGGCTGCCCTTTCACATGGTCCACCACGTGCATCTGCTCTATATCTGGAGCATAGAACTCCCCCTGGGACAGAAGAGATGGCAAGGTCTGTTATCTTAAGGCTAACAGCAAGCCATGGTTCCTAAGCAGTATCAGACTTTGTCGTAGTGAATGAGGGTGGTTTGGTTGCTGAGTTAGAGGGAATTCGACAACAAACCATAACAGCAATATGGCAGTAGATCTGAGCAACTCAAATGCTGACCTGTGACCAGGTTATTGATGTGATAGAGTGTATTGTCAGAATAAGAAGAGAGAGAGATTTTTTTTTAACTTCTTGGGCATTTGGTGGAAATTTTTTTTAGGTGAAAATGCAGATTTGGTGACCCTGAAACATTGTGTGAATTCATGTTGACTGTCAAATTGTTACAGTGTTTTCAAAATATAACATTTCAAGTTTCTGCTTTGAAATGACTTTTAATTTAACAATTTCCTCCGATTTTATTTTTTAAATAATTCAAAAATGCTTTAAAATATTTGAAGCTGAAACAAAACATTTCAGTTTTGTCAACTCATCTCATTTGACCTGAAATGAAAATTTCAACTTTTTGATTTGCCAACAATTTAAAAAAAATTAGGGCTGTCAATTAATCACAGTTAATTCATGCGATTAACTCAAAAAATTAATCACAATTAAAAAAATTAATCACACTGTTAAACAATAGAATACCAAATGAAATTTATTAAATATTTTTGGATGGTTTTCTACATTTTCAAATATACTGATTTATATTACAACACAGAATACAAAGTGTACAGTGTTCACTTTATATTACTATTTTTGATTACAAATATTTGCCCTGTAAAAATGATAAACAAAAGAAATAGTATTTTTCAATTCACTTCATACAAGTACTGTAGTGCAATCTCTTTATCAAGAAAAAGTAACTTACAAATGTAGATTTTTTTTGTTACATAACTGCACTCAAAAACAAAACAATGTAAAACTTTAGAGCCTACAAGTCCACTCAGTCCTACTTCTTGTTCAGCCAATTGCTAAGACAAACAAGTTTGTTTACATTTATGGGAGATAATGCTGCCTGCTTCTTATTTACAATGTCACCTGAAATTGAGAACAGGCGTTTGCATGGCACTTTTGTAGCCAGCATTGCAAGGTATATACATGCCAGATATGCTAAAGATTCATATGTCCCTTCATGCTTCGGCCACCATTACAGAGGACACGCTTCCATGCTGATGATGCTCGTTAAAAAAAAACAATGCATTAATTAAATTTGTGACTGAACTCCTTGGGGGAGAATTGTATGTCTCCTGTTCTGTTTTACCTGCATTCTGCCATATATTTCATGTTATAGCAATCTCGGATGATGACCCAGCACATGTTAGTTTTAAGAACACTTTCACAGCAGATTTGACAAAAGGCAAAGAAGGTACCAATGTGAGATTTCTAAAACTAGCTACAGCACTCAACCCAAGGTTTAAGAATCTGAAGTGCCTTCCAAAATCTGAGAGGGACGAGGTATGGAGCATGCTTTCAGAAGGCTTAAAAGAGCAACACTCAGATGCAGACACTACAGAACCCAAACCACCAAAAAAAAAATCAACCTTCTTCTGGTGGTATCTGACTCAGATGATGAAAATGAACATGTGTTGGTCTGCACTGCTTTGGATCGTTATTGAGCAGAACCCGTCATCAGCATGGACATATGAATCTTTAGTGCATATGGCACGTAAATACCTTGCGATGCTGGTGACAACAATGCCGTGAGAAAACCTGTTCTCACTTTCAGGTGACATTGTGAACAAGAAGCAGGCAGCATTATCTCCTGCAAATTGTAACCATACTTGTTTGTCTGAGTGATTGGCTGAAGTAGGACTGAGTGGACTTGTAGGCTCTAAAGTTTTACATTGTTTTATTTTTGAATGCAGTTATTTTTTGTACATAATTCTACATTTGTAAGTTCAACTTTCAAGATAAAGAGATTGTACTATAGTACTTGTATTAGGTGAATTGAAAAATACTATTTCTTTTGTTTTTTACAGTGCAAATATTTGTAATAAAAATAAATATAAAGTGAACACTGTACACTTTGTATCCTGTGTTGTAATCAAAATCAATATATTTGAAAATGTAGAAAACATCCAAAAATATTTAAATAAATGGTATGCTATTATTGTTTAACAGCGCGATTAATCGCACGATTAATTGCAATTAATTTTTTTAATCACTTGATAGCCCTAAAAAAATATTTCTTGTTCTTACCCAAAATAATATTTTTGGGGGGCTTTTTGAAATTGCCAGTGAACCAAAAAGTCTGTTATTCTCCCAGCGCTAATCTGAACTAGTGTCAGACAAACAGTTAGGACTGTTTGGCAGCGCTTAGGTCTTTCTGGGAGGGAGCGAGCAAGCGGGGAAGCTGCCCCCCCAGCCCCCCCGGCAGGCAGGGCCACCCGGAACACTTGGAGCCTGCATCTAAAGCCCCTTTCGGAATGTGGCCCTGGGAGCACGGGCCGGAGAACTCAGGAGGAGCAGGGGCAGCTGCGCAGCCAGCAGCCGGAAAGAAGCGCCGCATTCCGAAAGGGGCTTTAGCGCTGCAGGCCAGGGCCCCAGGGCCCCCTTAGCCCAGGGTCCTGCAGCCCCTAAAGTCCCTGCCTTCCGGGTGGCCCTGCCTTCCAGATGGCCCTGCCTTCCGGGTGGGGGGTAGCAGCTCCCAGAATTGCGGCTCCCAGAATCGTGGCCATGGGGGCGGTGCCGCGCTGCGCAGAGCCACCTGCACACCCCCTGCACCAAACAGGAGCTGCCCCAGGTAAGTGCTCAGCACCTCCTGCCTGCCTCAGCCCTGAGCCTCCTCCCGCACCCCAACCCTGAGCGCCCTCCCGCACCCTAACTCCCTCCCAGGCCCTGCACCCCCAGCCCTGAGCCCTAGGGGTAAGCCAGGGACACCTCCCCACCACAGTACAGTACAGTACTGTATAGTATATAATGCCTTTTGTCTGCCCCCAAAAATTTTCCTTGGAACCTAACCCCCCGCATTTACATTAAATCTTATGGGAAAATTGGATTAATTTAACATCGTTTCACTTAAAGTTGCATTTTTCAGGAACATAACTACAACCTTAAGTGAGGAGTTACTGTAGTCCTAAACTTTATGGAGGAAAAGTTATACCAGTTTCCTCCATCAGAGGGCTCCTTAGGGTAAGCATTTAAATACCCAACAGTTTTGGAAGGAATATAAGTTTTTCTGATCTAGAGCCTAAGAATCTTCCTGGCCATTGAGTAAATTCTTGCTGGCATCTTGTCCGTGGAGTAGAGTAGGGTTGTGGGGAGCAAGGAGTGGGAATGTCAGAATTGCCAGCACCAGCTACTTCAAGAGAAGGGTCAAGAAACACCTGTGGCAGGCAGGTATGGAATAATCTGTCCATAGGAGAAACTTCTTCCTAACCCCACAAGGGGGTGCCTTCTGCCTGGCCACAAGGGGGTGCCTAGCGGTGAGCAAACTCATTTATAGTCTCCCACCCTTTCTCCTCCTCTTTGCCCCATTTGATCCCAGGATCAGTGCCAGGTAGAATTGATTGAGCGGGCAGGGGGAGGCTTCCAGTGCAGGATCTGTCTTTGCCAGGGCTTTTCTTTGTTTCTTACTTTTTCCTCTTTCTAACTAAGAGCTGCTGCTGTCGTTGCTTTGCCTTCCCCGCCCTGTTCATGGGAAGGTGAGCCATGCCCTAGCATCAGCTGGCACATTATTTCTCTAACTGAGATTTTCATGTCTAATTCTCAAACATGTTGCCTGCAGCATTAATAGAACGACGTGTCTCTTCCTGGCATACGAATCTACCTATGAAACATTCCGTCTATTGCTTACCTTGCATGACCCACTCGAACCTAGCCCTACAGGATTTGCTCAGCCCAGCTTTTGGTCACATTGGGTGTGTTAGATACCGAGATATTTCCCATCAGGTAGTGCAGTTCCCATAAGATTGGATGGTTTATTTTACTCCCCTAAGTTGAATAACAGAAATAAGCTTTGGTCTTTTCCTGCTCTTTCATTGCATGAACAAGCAGCAGGATTGAAGGGTCACTGGTTCCAGCTCTCAGTGACCCCAGATGGTCTCAAATCCTGTGATAATTCCATTCGTGCAATGATATATTGCTCCACCTCACCTAGAGAAGCCAGATCCCGCACTCACTGTAACACAAGGACTTCTGTGCTTGGGAGGAACTATTTCACAATGCCTTAGAACGATGCCAGGGTGGGTAGAACTGAAGAGGCCGGGATGGAAAAAGGACTGTCCAAAATTGTGACAGTCAGTGGAACTTGTGAATGAGATGGTCAATAAAATTCAAGTTGGGAAATTTTTCAGTAAGAAAAAGGCACGGGTGTTTAATGACAATTTCACAAAAAAATGGTTCCTGCTTTTCCAGTAGGTCTACTTCGTAGTCACTTATGTATATTTGAAAACCTCACCCTAATCTTGGGACAGTCAATATTTTACAAAGGCATCATTTTTGCCATTTCTTTCCCAACACCCAGCTATTATGTTGTAAATAGAATTTTCCCCCTCTCCTATCCACCTGCTTCTCTGATTTGATTCATTTGGGAGTAAAGTTCACCTCTGATCTGAAGGCTTAAGTGGAGCCTTGGACTATATCTGCACTCAGACTGAAAGTGTGGCTCCCAGGCTGGGTAGATAGACACACACTAGTTTCACTGAGCCAGTGCCCTAAAATAGCCATGTGGCTGTTGCAGTATGGGAGGTGACACAGGCTAGCTGATGGAGAACCAACCAGTCTGACCCCCTGGGTCCATATGTGGGTGGCAAGCCTGGACCACCACCCATGCTGCAGTGTCCACACTGCTATTTTTAGCCCCCTAGCTCGAGTGGAGCTAAAACAAGTCTGTCTACCTGGGCCGGGATGCATGCTCCTAACTGCAATGTAGACATACCCTGGTGTCTTCCTGGCCTTCTGCACTAGGGAAAATTTGATTCATGATAAGCACAGAACCATAGATGGAAGGGCCAGAAAGGTTTTTATCTTGAATCACTCAGGATATTCCATAGAG